GGGCGGTCAAACGGGCGTTGACCACCAAGTCAACTGCTATACCCGACCGAGTATTAGCAAATACCCGACCGGGTATTGGCAAATACCCGACCGGGTATTTGCTGAAAATTTGCCCCAGGGGCTACTGTCTTCTATACCCGATCGAGTATGGGTAGGTACTCGATCGAGTATACACCAAAAAATAGCCTTACGGGCTACTGTCTTCTGTACTCGACCGACTATAGGTGGGTACTCGATCGAGTATTGGGTTATGCTCAAAACGGGCAGTTTTGAGTAGGTTAATGTGGGCCGTTCAGGTGGAACCCGCCCACGTTGGTTCCTAAGGATGGTGATATGACTATAGGGCTATGCATTGTCCATAGTTAAAGGAATGAAAGGTTAGCCATATCCAGGTTAGGGTTTGGAAAGGAATAAGTTTGGGGTTGAGCATCCCCGGGACTGTAAATGATCCTGAAACTCGGTTGGGGTTGAGCATCCTCGGGACTTTAAATGATCCTGAAACTCGGATGGGGTTGAGTATCCCCCTGACTGTAAATGATCCTGAAACTCGGTTGGGGTTGAGTATCCCCGGGACTGTAAACCATCCTGAAACTCGGTTGTGGTTGAGTATCCCTGGCACGGTAAATGATCCTGAAACTCGGTTGGGGTTGAGTATCCCCGGGATGCTAAATGCTCCCAAAACTCGGTAGGATACTATGAATGTAAAATGTAGCTTGTGAGCTAGGCATTCGGGGAAGGAGTGAGAAAAGTCAGGTAAGAACTTTATCTCTAAAAGACTCTTTAAATGAAATGACCTACGGGTTGAGTATTTTACAAATATATATATAATATGTATCATTGGGTGGATGAGTCACATATATATATGTATCATCCTATTTTTGGGTCTCGTGTCTGAAACATTAGTTATTCTTCATATAGCCTGCTTGTCACTAGTACTTCTATGGAGTACTGACCCCTCTGGGGGCCCTCACATTTTTCAGGTTAAGGCTAGAGTCCTACTACCTGCACCTTTGCCTAGGGTGGTTGATCAAGAAGGAAGACGTGGTTCGTGCTTCCATTCTTATTTCAAATTTATAAACTGCTCATGGATTTTTCGAACATTGTTTTCTTTAAAACAGTTGGGGCCCTGCGTGCCCGTGTTTGCCACGTGTGGCTAAGTATCAAACGTATTATTCTTTCCGCATTTGTTTGATTATGATATCGATGTTGATTGTATGTGTTTACTAATCGGTTTGGCAATAGAATCAATCGGACGCCTTGTACAATTCAATAGAGATGAACTGTTGTTATTCTTATCGGGTTGTACGGCGGTTGTCTACGTGGCCCGGATGCGGTCTGGGCGTGACAGTATGCTTATACCTTCCATGATTCATCATCAATGAATGTCACAAAATATTTGCTTCCTCCAAGTGACTCCTCTTCAATGGGTCCACATACATCAGAGTGGACAAGACGGAGTAACTCTGAATGGTTCTTCCTGGTAGAACTGAAGGAAACTCTGTGTTGTTTCTCGAATAAACAGTGTTCGCATGGATCTAGGGCAACACCTTTGCCTATGGAAATGGCTTCCTTCTTTGCAAGAGTTGTCAATCCCTTCACGCTTAAGTGGCCTAACCTCCGCTGCCAAAAGTTTGGTGATGTCTCTTCTTCAACAGAATTGAGACTTGGATGACACAACTTTACATGGGTTTTATAAAGAGTACCACAAATATGGCCTCTTGCAACAATCAAGGAACCTTTATATAACTTCCATGTATCTTCTTTGAATCGGTTAAGATATCCTTGCTGATCCAGAGCTGCACCGGAGATAAGATTCAATCTAAGATCCGGAACGTGTCGAACATCTTTCAAAACAAGTGCGCATCCAACATTAGTTATTATGTGCACATCACCAATGCCAACAATCTTTGAGAAACTGGTGTTTCCCATCTTCACAGCTCCAAAGTCTCCGGACTTATAAGATGTGAATAAGTTCTGGTGTGGAGTGGCGTGAAATTATGCGGCTGTATCAACCACCCACTCAACATCATGAGTACCTACGTGTAAACATTCTTGTTCACCATGTGTTACAAGTAACATGTCTGATGACAAACTAACCATGGTCGCACCATCTTCTTGGCTAGTGTTTTGACTCGTCTGTGGTTATTCTCGTAGAAACTTTCTACAATCTCTTTTTCTATGCCCATAATTACCACAGTATTTGCAATATCCTTCAAACAAAGTATTGTTTTCAAAGGACATACCTCTCTCTTGTGATCTGCCGCGAACTTGAGAATTTCCTCTACTTTGACCTTGGCCTCTACCTCGACCTCGACTTCTTCCTCCATTTATGCCTCCCCCTCGTCTGTTAGTTTCTGATATGAGGGCATATGATTGTTCTGTCCCGGCTTCCTTCCTTCGGGCTTCTTCATTCATCAGGGCATTTGTGACCATCTGCATAGTCACCTTCCCATTAGGAGCAGAATTACTGAGAGTGACAACAAGAGTCTCCCAGGGTAAAGAGCTGAAGAGTAGTATCGCCTGCTCTTCATCTTTGAGAACCCATCCGATGGTGCTCAATTGATTCACGAGATCCTGGAATTGACGGGTGTGTTCTGACACCGAAATACCACCTCGTAACTTGTGGTTTACTAATCGCCTCATTAATAACGTCTTATTTCGGGTGGTTTTTGCTTGATACATGCTACCAAGCTAAGCTTCTACCATAGTGTGTAAGCACTCAGTTCTTGAACAACATGGTGGAACACACTATGGTCGATCTAGTGTCGAATTTGTGCGGCAGTTTTTCGATTCATTTTTGTCCATTCTTCATCTGTCTTCTTATCCGGTTTGACGCCATTATTATCAAGGGAAATCGGCTAAATCCCTCAAATTTAGCAAATCCTCCATGTGAGGCTTCCACATATTATAGTTTGTGGAAGTGAGCGCAATCATGGTGTCCGATGATGATTTATCAATAATAAAAACGCTCAATATATCTCGTACCTTAAATTCGAAGCCGAATTTGAAAAAAATGAAGCTCACCGTTGAATCCGGAATGGTCGAAAATGGTAGGAACCGGTCTGACCTTGTTCAAAACCGATCTGGAACGCATTGAACCGAGCTCCACAAATATGAACAGGTTCGGTCCGGTTCAGGCAGCAGCCCAATGTGTAGACCAGCAGGAGGATGATGTGGCAGAAGCTGGCTCTGCGCTGGCGCTGACGTGGTGCTGATGTGGCACCACGTGTCAGATGGCTTGGCGTGAACCTGGCGACCGGTACAGATGACGTGGCGCTGACCTGGAGATGACGTGGCGGCTGACGGGTCGTCTTCTTTCTCTGGCTGGTGCCTACAATGCATGGCTGAGAGTGACCTCACTCTCCGGCCGACGACGCGTACGGCTTCTTTCAGTGGCCAAAAATCCCCAAAAATACCAGTTCTCCCCTCTCGACGAGACGAATCTAATGGTACGACCAGATCGTGATTCCGAGCAACTTCAAAAATCACGATTTTGTAACCTATAGATTTTTTCCCGAAAAATGAGAAAAAAAATGTATGAAAACTCAACCTCTCTCATACTCCTTGTTGGGATTGGAAAATTCTTCAATTCAATATCAAGAAATGAATTACAATAGGATAAGCAAACTCTCACACTCAAATATTACAAAAAATCAATCCTCACCAATACACTTATACTCTAAATGTATTTTACTCTTCACACACTTTTCTCACTTTCTAAAACTGATACAAATGAACAACAATACACTCCCTATTTATAGGTGTATGTGGGAGATATGAGGAAGTTGCATCCAAGCTTTCTTTCCCATTGCTAGGGATTTTGCTAGCTATATCTAAGAAATATTCTCCCATGTTCATAGGTTGGAGAGATCCTTCCAGGAAGGTGTGAGATGCCTCTTGACACCTTCCAAGAAGTATTATTTTTCAGGTTTCAAAAACAAAACACAACTCGGATTAAAAAGTCAAAAAAAGAAGTTGGATTGCCATTTTGTGCATTCCTTCAATCTTCACAGTGGAGCCTCACATTACCGTACTAACAACCTAATGAAAATGATATACGGAGTATTAGGGACTTGCCTGTTGCTGTGCTCTCATTTTCAAACTGTTTTATTCATATTTCAGGAAGTTTCCCTTTATAAATCTTTGTAATCATCAAACTTGACAAAGTTTTAAATAACATATTGAGTACTTATTTAGTAAAACGCGGGCGACCATAGAAATATAGGGAGTACTCCCTCCGTTCCTATTAAAACTTCCAACTTTCCTTTTTCGTCCGTTCCAATTAAAACTTCCACTTTCCCTTTTAGTAAAGAATTTGTGCTTCACAACATTTCTTACACATTTCTCTCTCCTCTGCACAACTCTCCACCACACAATACCCACTATCTTAAATTGTGTGCCAAACCAATTTGGAAGATAAAATAGGAACGAAGGGAGTATTTATTTACTCCCTTCGTACCGTAATGAACTTCCCACTTTCCCTTTTTGGATGTCCTAGAAATAAGTTCTTATTTTCTTAAATAGCAAGTTAATCTATATCAAAACAGTGTCAAACACAGTAAAACATTGCCAAACAGTATCGAAACAGTGCAAAACAATGTCAAAATAGTAAAATTTACTTTATGGTAAATTTATTTCTTTAATAGTGAAGTCCATCGTGAAAGAGAGGTAGTATGTTTATATAGAAGCTAAGAGCTGTCCTCCAATAATATACAGGTTGGCAATCTGTCCTGCACTAATGAGTCCTGATCCCGAGCGCCCAGAACGACGCAAATCAATAAAAAAAGCTATTCCACCCTCTCTCCTTCTCTTCCACGCTACACGACACTTTTGACGTGGCTTCCTGCTACTCTACCTACTGTTCACCATTTCACCAATCACCCCTTTCTTTATTTCATTTTATTATTTACTCCATTAATTAATCTCTCCTCCATACAGCGACGTTCCCTTTCTACGGAGCGTCTCTCTATATATATTCCTCACTTAGCTCGCTTCTCTTCGTCCCATCATCTCGCAATTATATTCACCGCTGGCCATAGCCTCCAGAACCGAGTTCAGCTCACTAAACCAGACCGAGTCACCTCTGATGGGTATATGCAACTCTTGCGAGTCAACGTCGGTGTCCACGGCGAAGTTGATTCTTGAAGACGGCAGGCTACAAGAGTTTCCTTACCCCGTCAAAGCCTCCTACCTCCTTCAGAAGGACCCCACGGTTTTCATCTGCAACTCCGACGAAATGGACTTCGGCGACGTCGTTTCTGCCATCAGCGCCGACGAGGAGCTCCAGCCCGGCCAGCTGTACTTCGCCCTCCCGCTCTCCCGCCTCAAGCGCCGCCTCCAGGCGGAGGAAATGGCCGCATTGGCTGTCAAGGCCAGCTCGGCGTTTACCAAGAGCTTGGGCGGCGAAAAGAAATGCGGCTGTCGCGGGAAAGGAATCGCATTTCCCGTCGGAAAGTATTCCAAGGTGGCGGCGACGGATAAGTCTGTCGCCGGAGGGATAAGTAACGGTAACGGAGGTGGGAAGAGGAGAATGGGGAAATTCACGGCGAATTTGAGGGCAATTCCGGAATAGAATATCTGTTCCAATTTGTGTGTACATATTTTAGATTAAGAAGTTAAGAAGAAATGAATTTAATTAGGGTAATAGTGTTATTTGTTGTACGAACCATCACAGTGTGCGGTATTGCGCCGTTCACGTCACCTTTTTTTCCTCTCTGGGGATTTATTGCTGTCAGCCACTGTAGGGGTTTGTATGTCATTCAATTTTGCGTCAACAATTCTTGTTGATTTGCTCATTATTCTATTTTATCCACATTTTTCTTTTTACCTGATCGGCCAGATTCTTTATCAAATTTGGGTGTTTTATACGGAATATATGCATGAATACTTTATAGAAATGTAAAAACCGGATATATAGTGTCAATGAAAAAGCCGAAGATGAGAAGATGCAACAAAAAATTTGAAAAAGTAAGATGATTAGGACCTTTTCTTCCATATGTATTACCTATGTATTACCTATTTAGTTCTACATCACCAAATTATTTCTAACATTCTAAATTTGCCCTTCATCTTTAAGAAGTAAAACAAAACAATTCCGCTTCTAATTTTCTTTCGCAGGAGCACCGCAGATCACCTTCTTCTTCTGCAGGAGCACCGCACATCACACTTCTTCCGCATGATCACCGTCATCCTTTCCAACACCATTCATTGCCGCCAGAGAGGTCGTGCCCCATCATCGCCAGAACCCTAAACACACACAAACGCTGAAAAATCAATTCCGCAGCAATCACAGCCATGGAGAATTACTCCTACCCTTCCTATTCGGATTCCAGCGACTCCTCCCATATCCCCCCTATTTATGTGAAATCAAGTTCAATATCCTCCCAGGGATGATCCTAATAAGCCCATTCCTCCCAATTTCAAGGCCAAGTTTAATGTCCTCCCAGGTTTACCTGCTCTGCTATTGAGCTATTAACAAGATTTATTGTCTGTTTAATGACTACTTATTGTCTATATAGTCTGCTATTGAGCTATTGTTAGAAGTTATTGTCTGTGTACTGACTACTTGTTGTCTAAAGATTGTCTAGTGTTTGCAAGTTTGTTTTTGGATCTGGTTTCTTCAAAACTTTTGCAGAGAACGTGGAGGCCTTGTGAAAATATGAAATAGAAGTTCGAAATTGGCAAAATCAATGTCCAAAATCAGAAAAGAAGAAGAAGATGAGAAAGAAGAGGAGGAAGAAGAAGAAACCTCGACGGTGGCATCTGGCGGTAGCATCCGATGAAGTCAACTGGAGCAGCTATGTGGTGTGTCGCCGACGGTGATTTCGACATCGGTAATGGTGAAATCAACAGCGTTGGTGATGGCCAGGTAGTCGATCGATCGTGAAGAGGAGAAAAGGGTCGATGAAGTTTGTTTGATGCACAGGGGAATTTAGAAGAAAGGACAATTTGGTCAAAGCAGGTGTACTGAGGTCTTACGCTAATTCACAGTCTTAATTTTGAAAAATTAGTAAGATTAGGTCCTACTTGTGAAAATCTCCCTAAGATTTAAATGTATCGATAGAGTATGAACGGTAATAAAAGTTTCTCAAAAAGTAATATTATCCGTACAGAAATGTTCTCGAAAAACAAAAATATCGTTAAGTTTTAAAGAATGACATGTTTATAGCAATAATTAATTTTATTTTGAGAATAAAAACATTTCAGCCATTTTCTGGAATTCATAAATTTGTTTGCTCTAAATTTATGTAAATTTCTTTATGTATATTAATAAGATATGAAAGTGCACTAAAAAAATTACTGAGAAATATACTTGTACTATACGAAATAAAGAAAAACGGAGGAAGTGAACGTAGCATCGTTTACGTTTTAGAGTCTGGTTGAACCTGATTTTTAGCTCAACATCCTTATCATTCAATGTTTTCACTAAATAGGATTATTTTGTTTTTGGGCACTTAGCTGTATAATAATAAAAATAAATAATGTTGATGTTACTTTTCATACTGAATTTACTTAAATGGCTATAGAGCAATATTTTTATTATTTTCATATTTTTTCTTTATTTTTTTAGTTATATATATTCTAAATATGATTTCTGCATAATGCATTACAATCAGTCAATCCGGCTAGTACGGTCAAAATGTCATAAACTTCAACAGAGTGATTCGATGCAGCTAATTTCACTTGCAAAGTGTACTCTTAATTTATGTTTTCGAAAGGTTAGGAAGTGTTTAAAAAAACTAGAATGATCAAATAGCCCCACTGCCACAAATTCGTGGCTACATTTCGAATCCGAAAGTACAATTATTATGATCATAATGCAATTATTATTTCTTTTCCATAACTGTAATAATGATATATTTTCCATACTGTAACATTATCCATTTTTACAGCACCAATTATGGTGTAATTTTGTGGACATCAATACTTCAATAGTCAATTAGTCATAATTCTTACAAAGAACCTTTCTCATGTATGCATCCGAAAACAGTTCTCTATCGCCACAAATTCATGCCTACAACTAGATAGAATAACTGTATGTGTTATGTAGTACGTATTTGACAAGAGTCACAAAAAAACGAATTTAAATTAGAAATGGAGAAAATATCTAAATGTGACTAAGACCATCAAATATTCCTAATTTATGATTACGATGAATAAAGGCAATCAATAATTGATCAGAGTAGCAAGATAGCTAGTACCGAGTAATATGTGTGGAAAACAATGTCCCGTATTATACTCGTATTACGGAGTAGCTCAAGAGCATTACATTACAGAAATATAGAGGAAATATGTGGTAAATTTTTCAACAAAATTTAAACCACACACAAAGTTATTTATTTAAGATATAAGTTACGTAACCATAGGGTTTAATTATGGAAATGGTTGACAAAGGATTAGTCTCAGCCTCTAAGATAGTATGGACCAATAGTGTTTAGCATTAGGTGTACGTTAACTACAGCCAGCTGAAAAGATATTTATTACTTCCTCCGTCCCGTATTGAATTAAAAACTTTGACCGACACAAGGATTAAGGAATGACAATAAATGATGTTTGATTTTTACACTTTTAAAAGTAGATATCTTTAAGTTAATGAGAAATTGGAAAAAGTAAAATTAAGGGTAAATTTGTCACTTTATTCTTATTTACATACCTAAAGTAGAAAGTGGAAAACCATTTTGGGAAAACCAAAATAGGAAATTTTGCAAATCAAATTGGGACGGTGGGAGTAACTTTTTAGTAACTGTTAACTTTTAGTGATTGAAAATATTTTAAAAGAAAAAGATAGTAGATGTTTAATAAAAAGATGACTATTTGATTTAAAACTAATTCGATTACAAGATCTTAGTACTAATTAATGCTAGAAGCTACACACTTATCTGAGATGCTACTTATTGTATTATCTGAAAAAAATCTTTTACTTTTTTAAATAAGCTCTTAAAAATAGACATACCAAACATACAACTATAAATTTTTTAAAGATTTTTAAGTAATACACAAACCGGAAGGAGAGTCGACCATTTCTACACTGTAAGGATGTTTTTACTTGGACTGTAATTCGTCCCAGACCAGGCCAGATCAGACCAGACAGACCCGACCAGACCAGTTTAGACCAGACCAGACCAGGCCAGACCAGACTTGGATAGTTATAAAAATACAAAGAAACCAGATCAGATCAGTTCAGACCAGTTCATATCAGACCAGACCAGATCAGACCAGAGCACACCAATAGAGTCCAGTAAAAACATCAAAGTACATTTCATATATAGCGGATCCACTTACGTTGTCCTCGAGATAGCACACGAAAATAAATGAACGCGTCTTCGATCTATTAATTAATTGATTGATTAATCAATGAAGCGTATAAAGAGCGTGTACATTGGACATAGATCCCGTGGATGGTGAGCACTTTTAGGCTTTTGAACTCTTGCTTTGGCCGTTGGGTGTTCGACGACTAACCCATTAAACAAGTGTTTCTTACTTAAAAAAGGCATTTTTAGCTTCCCTCTTCAAATCAAATTTTAAGAAGTGTGTGTTTAACTAAATGCTTTTATTATTCTCAAACAAACAAACTAAATGCTTTTATTTGTGGTAAAACTAACTCCAACGATTGTGAAAAAATTAAGAGATGTTACCCAATCACTCGAAACCCCAGAATTAGTGTAACAATTGTATGAGAAGATATACAGAGAGTGAAGTTTCCACCCATCATTTTACCTATAGTTGAACTCGAGACATTTTTCTTGTGTCACCTTATTCTATCGGTTGAGCTACACACCCGCTCTCACAAAATTGAAGGACCGTAGATGAGGTTCGGAAAGGTCCACATCATGCATACTCTAGCATAACTGCATGGGAGCGTTTGGTTCAGGGAATGTCAGATTAACACGAGAATGTCAGATTGCTGGGTATGTTAGATTGATGGGAATGTATCCAATCTATTTTCATTTGTGTTTTTGGTTAAGATTAAGGGAATGTGATATTAATTTACTTGGTTGAAAGATATCTTATAATTAAGATATGGTGAATTATTTTAATGCCCTTAAATATTTCATCTTAACACAATAAATCTATTACAACCTACATCTCAAGTAATTAAAATTAAAGAAAAAATGAAATATCTTAATAATAAATAAAATCAAACCTAATTGAATTATTTTTAAGTGAACTACGCTTAATTGTAAAAAGTTGTAGATCCAATTCAAAAGAAAAAAACTTTATTCAAATGGTAATCTAAATATATTTATTATTATTTCAAAAAAATTAAATTTAAAATTGTTCAAGTTATTCATAAACTTCTTTTCAAATTAAAGAAAAATTGATCAATTTTGCCATTAAATTTTGAAATTCACGCATCAAAAACTTAAATAATCTATAAGTCTTATAAAATAAACACCTTAAAAAATTTTAATGTTAAGGAAAAATGAATTATGAAAATAACAAGAATAGACATTCAAATATAATTAAATAAACACACTCCATCTGTCCCACTTAAAAGGTTATCACATTGACTGATTGATGGATAGTCTACCCGGGGGTATATATCCGAAGGGTTATTACGGGGAATAACTTAGAGAGAAGTCAGAGCAAGTAAGTAAAAGTAGAAAGAGAGTGTATTCAGTATGAATGCCGTTTTCAGCGTGATTACAAATGGGGAAATGGGGTGCTATTTATAGTAGCAATAAATGCCGGGCAGGGACACATGTCAAGCGCTCATTGGCTGAGGGGTCACCTCAACTGGTTGGCGCTGGCAGCCGCATGTGGCCGCATTTAATGCGGCTGTTGGATGGGACGTCTGTGCGGGGTACGGTGATCTGTACGCATGTGA